TGTTATCTGCAAATAGAGAGAATTTGACTTCCTCCTTTCCTAATTGAATATCCTTTATTTCTTTTTCTTCCCTTATTGCTCTGGCTAGAACTTCCAATACTATATTGAATAGGAGTGGTGAGAGAAGGCATCCTTGTGTAGTGCCAGATTTCAAAGGGAATGCTTCCAGTTTTTGCCCATTCAGTATGATACTGGCTGTGGGTTTGTCATAAATAGCTTTTATTATTTTGAGATACATTCCTTTGATACCTAGTTTATTGAGAGTTTTTAGCACAAAGTGCTGTTGAATTTTGTCAAAGGCCTTCTCTGTATTTGTTGAGATAATCATGTGGTTTTTTTGTCTTTGGTTCTGTTTATATGGTAGATTATGCTTATAGACTTGTATATGTTGAACCAGCCTTGCATCTCTGGGATGAAGCCTACTGAATTGTGATGGATAAGTTTCTGATGTGCTGTTACAATCGGTTTGCCAGTATTTTACTGAAGATTTTTGCATCTATGTTCATCATGGATATTGGCCTGAAGTTTTCTTTTTTTGCTGAGTCTCTTCCAGGTTTTGGTATCAGGATGATGTTGGTCTCATAAAATGATTTGGGAAGGATTTCCTCTTTTTGGATTGTTTGGAATAGTTTCAGAAGGAGGGGTATCAGCTCCTCTTTGTATGTCTGGTAGAATTCAGCTGTCAATCCATCTGGACCAGGGCTTTTTTTGGTTAGCAGGCTATTAATTGCTGCCTCAACTTCAGCCCTTGTTACTGGTCTATTCAGGGTTTCAACCTCTTTCTGGTTTAGGCTTGGGAGGGGGCAAGTGTCCAGAATTTATTCATTTCTTCCAGGTTTACTGGTTTATGTGCATAGAGTTGTTTGTAGTAATCATTGATTGTAGTTTGTATTTCTGTGGAATTGGTGGTGATATACCTTTTATCGTTTTTTATTGCATCTATTTATTCTTCTCTATTTTCTTTTTTATTAATCTGGCTAGCAGTCTGCCTATTTTATTGAT